GGCAGACGCTAAAGGAACTGCTGGAGGCTAGAGGGAAAAGCGCTAGCAATAAATCCAAATCAGTACTAATTGCAGAGCTGATGGAGGGCGACCAAGCACACAACAGCCCACCCCCACCTGCCAGGGAGGAAACCCCATATCAGAGGGAACTGAGAACCCGGCTGGAATTTGTACCTCAACCAGTACCCCTGGATATCTTGACCGTGCTGATGGCAGACGTACAGGACTACATTATGGCACAACAGCACCAGGGGGCACCATCCAGGGCAGAATCCATCGGCAACTCATTCTGCGCTCCAGTGAAGCAGAAAATACCCTACCAGGCATTTAAAGCATTCTGCGATGAGAAGGATGAGATTGACGGATACCTGCAGGATTTTGAGCTGTTATGCGACCTACACGATCTGGAGCAGGCAATGTGGGTACCCCTACTAGCAGGCAAGTTGGCAGGACGGGCAGCAGAGGCTTATCGCGCTGTTCCCAGAGACGACAGAAGGACTACTTTAAAGTCAAACGGGCAATTCTAGAAAGGTATGCCATAACACCGGAGGCATATCGGCGTAAATTTCGGGGATTGCAGAAGCCAGAAAAAGATTCCCACGCTGAGTGGGCACATAAGCTTGACCAAGCTTCACAAGGGTGGATTCAGGCCAGCCAAGCCACCACCATGGAGGAACTGCGCCAGCTAATCCTGCTGGAGCAGTTCTTTAACGGACTGTTACATGAGGCACAAGAATGGGTAAGGGACAGAAAACCTTGGTGCTACTTCTAAGTGCTGTTTCTAAGTGTGTAGTTGGAGATATTCTGGAGAGTTTTACAGAAGTTTCAACTGTCTAAGAGTTGTGCTAAGAGCTTTCTTTTCTACTGTTACAGGTAAGATTCATCTGTAGGAAAAGGTTACTGATTGCACAAGGTTTGAATTCCTGTTGGTAAGATTCATCTGTAGGAAAAGGTTACTGATTGCACAAGGTTTGAATTCCTGTTGGTAATTATAAGGCATTTGATTTGATTAAGCTAGTTACTTGCTA